TGATTACTCTGTTGATATCTGTCACATCACAGATGAAAGTTTAGCAAGGATTCATCGTGGTTACAGTGCGGTGAGCCAATGAGTTTTTCGCCCAGTCCAACAGTCTTCACTCCAATTCATTACTTCCTCGTGTTCAGGGGTGACCAATTCACGTATTCCTTCTAGCCAACTTTCCTATCGAAATGAAAAGCCATGTCACAATAAATCACTTATAAACTTCTTGAAAACATTTTTTCTTCCTAGATCCTGAATTAGACCCTGGGTCGTTTAAGGTGTGTTGACTTTCCTTCCAAAACGCTTTCTCATCCAATGCGGTAAATCCAACTGTCACTAACTAACTTACTCTCCAAATCGTCACAATTTCGAAACCCACTCATTCCATATACAGTGTTATCCTTGAGTTTAATGGCAAATATATGCCTGCCTTATTCAGATTAGCCATACTGTACATAAAGATAGGAAAGAGTTTACCTCAGTTTGAAGGTCACATTACCCTCGTTGTCACATCACATTGTCAGCCCGACTGTGCGGCGCAGTCACGACCAGTTGCAACTTTACCCACACGACCGTTTTGAGAGATCCGATGAGACTCAGACGAGGTCTGGAACTGCAGTCAGGCTCGGGTGAGAATGCGTTTTGGTACACTTTGTCATGGCGTCCTGACGCCTACTCCTTTATTGTGGCATCGTCAGTGATGAGCCATTAAACGACTCAGATCGATTCAAGTTGTTGCAATCCTCTTTCACTTTGTTCATTCTCCGTCGAGCATGCGAATCCTCTGCCTGCATCATAGTAGAACCGACATGTGTTTGTCTGTCTCCTGTTATATCGACCAAAACCATCTTCCTCGGTCGTCACCAGTCGTATCGATTGTGGATATCATTCCCGCCAAAAGCCACTTGCTCATCTGCCCAGCCCCCCATCCATTCACACTTGCGAGCATATTCCGCTTATTCGTCATTCGTTATACAACTCGGCGCTTCATTAACTTCTCTTTTCGTCTCTTGCTTCAACCTCTCCCCGACAGGTCTTGATTATTTCCAACTGGCTGGTTCAGTTCATTAACATTTTCCACGGGTCCGCCAGTTTCTTTAATCTGTCCATGTCTCTCATGCCACACACTCCTCTTTCACTGCTCTGATGAATGCCTCTGCTTTTCTTTCATTCCATACCTGTTGCCGCTCACCCGGCAACCTGTGCAGGCAAACCTTTTGGGCCTCTGCTGCACTGGTCGGAGTGGCGGATGCCGCTGACCACCGAAATGTCCAGCCATTTGTGTCTCTCCAACTGGCCACAACTGATGCAACTGCCGCGGGTACCGCCGGAGGGTGGAGCCATTCACCAATCGGGCCAGCTCGTGCATTCCTCACATGCCGGTCCGGCGGTCGGCCATTTCGGTCCTGACGCATCGGCCTCAGCCTCAGGTTCGTCCGGTCGGACGCATCACTTCGCCACTCGTCTCGCCTCGTTCGAGTCCTCTTCCTCCCAAGGCATGTGGCCACCGGCGGTGCGACTCGAAATGCTCGGCCTCTCCTGTGCCTATCCCGGTCGGGTGGCCGTGGCGTACAGGCTGATCGGCCATCTCGGCGGTCACACGCTTAGAGACTGCAGAGACGAGGCGACAGAGGGTGTGAATGCGGTCATGCTGACAATCTTTGAGTGCGAGTCCACAGGTGAATGGCCAAAGTGATGTTGCATCTATCTGCCTTACTCCAGTCGCCAGCACACATGTTTTTTTGGTGAACTTCAAAGGCTTCGTTGTTTCACTAAGCCTCATCTTCAACACGTACATAAAAGGGAAATTGCCCTGACAAAAATGGGTTTCGGTGAATCTCTAAAAATAACATTGTTGGGCAGACTTTAATTTAGTATGAAAGTGCATAATGAGCAGATCTGGGGGTCGATCTCACCAGATTTTCAGGTTGCTGCAGTCCACGAGACATCCTCCTTCGTTTTTGGGGAAAACGGGCTAAGCTTTGGTTCAGTTAATGATGGAAATCTTCAGAGCTAGAACTTATTCTCGCAAGTTTCATATCAACACTATGTCATAAAGATTATCCGGCTGTATCTTACTAAACCAAAAAACGTAAACAAATAGGTGCAAACATATATAGAATGGTTTGGCTAATTATCTTTCATATTGGTTCTGCTACTTTTGCTCGAGTGTGTCTAGGTTTATATGCTTGTGTGTGTGTGTGTGTATAAAAAAATTCAAATTATTAGATATACACGTCCGACGCAGGCTTAATAACCCACAAAACACCCTGACCGTAAGAAACTCTTGTTGAGACATTGCGATGCAATTTTGTTGGCGAGCAATTCAAGTTATGAAACCACTCGTTATAAACTATTAGCCTAGGGTTATTAAGGTTTAATGACCCAATCAAACACATGACTGATATTTCGTAGTCTTCTACGTATAGTATGAAGACCAGGACGGCTTGGCCTTATGTATAGTGGCGGTCTTTTTTCGTTGTATGGAAGTTGTTTGACCTTGGCTTCGCAACTTGGTCATATTAGCAGGATGGTCTAGATAACATTAACTTCAGTAATAAGAAATGACACACCATCACCAACAGTCTACGGTTTATGAAAGTCACAGAAAGAAGAACAACTAAGGATGCTAGTTAACAACAAGTTTAGAGCCACACACAAATTAGCCAAGCTCATATGTCTGACACTCAAGAAGGTAAACTACAGATTGTCAAACACAGTGAAGCACTCATCAGACGATCAAAAACATAACACTAGAATGAACAGATTTACTGGTAAGTTTTGATGTTCAATCTATGTATACAAACATTCTGGAGAAAAAGCGTTGACAGCCCTGTTAGAAATTGTGGATCGAGAAGAGGATATCCTATAAGCAGAGAGTATGAGAAGCGAGTCTTTAAAAATAAAATAAAATAAAAGATAAAATGCAAATAATCCTACCAAAAATGCCCTATAATCCACTGGAAGCCGTGGATATGATGGAGTGATAACGTGTCGCCGCATTATTAACATGACTTGGTTGTGAGTCCGATTGTAGGTGCTGTTTTTGACCGAAACTGCATTTCATTCAGGATGCTAAAACCTTTTGTGAGTTAATGCTCATTGAAGTTCTATGGCATTGCCTGACTTATTTATTTCCTTATGAGAAAAAGCAGCTATCAGTTCTGATGCGGTCAAGGGTTACTACATTTCTTACATAAAATCTTCTAATAATCGCAAAGCCCACTTTTCACTTAATTTGGTGAATGAATACCTAGCAGACATTTTGGCAATATAAACATCGAAATGCCTTCTACAAAATTTGTTTATTCCAGAAACCCTAATTACTAGGAAAATGTTATTGATTGAGGCTTGTATCTTTTTAAATGTTGGAATAAAATAAAAATCTTAATCTGTTTGAGTATGTTTCGACACATTTAGTAATGTCTACTCATGAACTATCCTATCATATATGAAGACCAAGATGTTGTGTCCTCTGGTATGGTCGCAGTTTTCTTCCGATTTATAGAAGTGGGTTTACCCCATTGTCGCAACTTGGTCTTGTTGTCAGGGAGACTATATAGAACGCACCTAGTCCGAAGTCGTCTGC